AGACTTTTTGCTGAACAAAGGCTGTTTGCTTGAGGCTCTGTTTTACAGGTAATAATGTTGTAAATAATGTTCAGTTTCTAGCACATACCAACCGTTTCGCTTCGTAAGATCTCAGTATATCATCAGGAGCCACAGGTATTCATTTTGTGTTCCTTGATATGCTTTTTTTGACTCTCAAAGTGCCAGTAGCTGTTGACTTGCATTTTATGAACCACCAAGGACCACAGTTCCAGCTAAAAATCTTCTTTAGTCACCTACATCTTGGATGGCCTGAAGGTGAGTTAATTAACAGCAAATTTTCATTTTTCTGTAAACTATCGCTTTAATTTTTTGTTTGTTTGTTTTCTGAAGATTTTCTGAAAATGCCTGCACATGCAAAAATGCACCACCACGTGTTGTGGAGTGTTCTGGGCATATAGAACTTACTGGTCCTTCAATGCAAGTCTACTTGTTTTTTTGGTTTGCCAGGTGAGAATCATCTAATAGCACCACCATTTAATACTTAGGGTTAAGGAATTAAACTTTTAACTCCAAGTATGAACAACAGCACACACCGCTGATTAATAACGAGTCTTTTCTTCCCCAAATGAAAGCGGATAAATTGCTGAAAATCTTTCACAAACAGACCCTGAATAAAAATGAAGAGCAATAAACGCTCTCATTAAAAGTCAGATTTTATGTAACGGACTGCAGTCGTGACTTCCAGCTCACGCTCTCCCTGTTCCAACACGACCCGATCAGCACGAATCAGCAGCTTGTGTGTGTGTGTGTGTGTGTGTGTGTGTGTGTGTGTATTCATACTTGTTCCCGTAGTCCATCTTAGAGGTGACTTTCTGTTTGAGCTCGGACATCTCGTCCTGTGGGAGCGTGCCGGACAGGATCTGGGAGCGCCACTCAATCAAGTCATAGATCATGTCTCGGACCGTGTTGAACATCTCACGCTTGTCGCCCTGTTGGAAACAAAGTCTGGTTAAAACCCTGCAATGTGTGTTACTTAATTTGTCAAAGCGCATGGTGCTGCATAAAGGCACGATGCTCTTAATCACTGTAGACAAACAGCCCCGGAGTGTCATATTGCTTGCTTATGCAATTAAAAGGGTTTATAAACGGTCAATGAGACACTTCAAAAAGGTTTGAAAACTTACTTTAATTTTTAACTTGTATATCAATTCAGAGCTTTTCAACATGTGAAAAGGATCAGATTTATTAGTGTTTAGCAGATGAGTGTTTTTGCTCTGTGATGTCACTGCGATGTGTTGTCATCAAAACACTATGTCGTTAAGCTCATGTTGTCTATTTCCCTAATATATTAGTATGCAAAAAGCAGCGTCAGATGAGTGGGATGTCCAAATTTGTTGTATTCATAAAAAGTGGCCAAAAAATACCCGGATGACCTACTACATATGGCAAGATTTTGAAGTGTGCATCTGATGGACACTTTAGTATCAGTGATGGGAAAAGGTTTATAAATAGTGGAGATCTAATGCAACTGACAGGTCACATGACAAAACCAGCATGGCCGGATTGCATTCATACTACACATGCATATTTTATAGAATACACTTTTTTAATTGTGTGCGTGTATGTGCGTGTGTGCGCACCACATCAGCATACAAGAATATTTTCATGGTGAAAAACAGATTGATGTTCAATGTTTAATTGATTTATGCTTTGTGTTCAAGGAATAAATATTTAGTAAAAAAAATAATAATTATAAAATAAATAAATAAAAAGACAAAATTTACATTAAATAAAAAATTCAAAAGAAAAAATACAAATATAAGATAAAATAAAATAAGATGAGAAATAAAGATAAAATGAACATAAAATATACTGTGTTTTTAAGCGCTGCATTGCATTGCGCCGCGTAAACATAAAACCATGTCTGCATTTGTGATCAGACAAAAGACAAACAACAAGTGCTACTCTACACTGCCCAAAAAACTCACATTTGAATCGTCAGTGGCAAAATCTTTAAATATAAAAAATGCACTTACAGTCTGTGAGTCAGAACAGCCGGCACTGTAGCCTACTCTACCAGGATCAGGAAACAGTCCTCCATAAAATGTGCTGCACACATCTGAATATTTGGGATGAACTGTTCTGGAACAGTGCTGTAAATACAACTTAACCACTGATTTCTAGTCGTGTTCTTTTGGAAGGCCAAACAAAGTAGTTTTGCTTTCACAACGAAACACACGGCGGGTAAGAGTGAGCGGAGGCCGGCGGACTTGAGAACGGCGCGGCTGGCAGAATCGTCGAAGGAGCGTCCGGCGGGCTTGCGACAACCACATGTGATGACCCCGGGCTGGACTCCGCTTCGTCCACGGTGAAAGCCCACATGTGACGACCCCGGGCTGGACTCCGCTTCGTCCACGGTGAAAGCCACTCCGGCGATCCACAGCGCAAATTTGATGTATGTCCTCAGCGACCAGCACGGATCAGCTCTAGGCATGATGAAGCGGATATCGTGCTCTTTTGGAAGACCAAACAAAGTAGTTTCGCTTTCACAACGAATCACACAGCGTCTGCACGACATGGCAGCGGCGGCGGCAACAACAATACTACAGCGCGAATAAAAGCTATGCCTTCTTTCTTTGCGTGAACATTTGGGTGGCGTTATGCAAATCTTCCCACATTGTGACGTAGACATGTGGGGGCGTGTTTAAACGAGTCGTTTTAGGTAGGCGTGGTTGACTCTTAACTTTCATAAAGAATATCTCTTTGGATTTGAGACTTTAGTCTTTGCAACATTACAGATCTTATTTATGCACCAAGAGCTTGTAACACTCCAAAGAGAAAGGAAAAATGTAAATCGCATCATATGACCCCTTTATGTGTGCAGAGGAAGAATATGCAACTTTTGGGAGATACTAAAATTTGGAATAAACGCAAGCTTACCACATATAGGTCCCTCCATATTGCCGCCCATTCTCGCAGCGTAGTTGTGACGTCATGAACCAGCGGAAGCTCGGTAGGAATGACCGTCTCCTTTTGTCTAAAAGAACAGTGATAGAGTGCAAAACAGAAACAGCACAATAAGTGAAGGAGTTTTCCAAGAATATCGCTTGTGTGGGAAACAATAGGCTGTTTAACTGCATCTCACTGCATCCACGTCAGTAATTCCTGCTTACTACAGGCTCCTGAGGACCCCGAGTCATTCAGATCCTTTCATGCCAATGAAAACTAATTACCAGCATCAGTCATCAAAACAGTGCTTATGTAAACTGAGCTGGGCTTTGCTCACGATTCCAATTACTCTCACACACTTACACCAAACCAGCACTCACTCGTGTGTATTATATTCCTGAACCACGCTTGAAAACCTATTTCAGACTCCAAAATCTCCCATTAGGCCAGCAATGGGCTACTGGAGCGCTAACTTGTTTTAGTAAGACGTCTATAGGAAGTATATTGTGAGCTGTGCTCAGGCTGGACCAAAGCTGATATAATCAGCCCAATAACAGCAGTAACAGGATCTTCAGATGCAGCAAAGGAGTGTAAAGTTTAATGCGGATGTTCCAAAACATAGTGAGCTGCCTACATAGGGAACTGCCGTCAAAAACAGCATCCTAACCATAGTAGAGACTCATAAGGTCAGATAAGGAAATATTGGTGTTTAAAGGTCTGATAATGGTGAGATGTGACAGAAATGTTGGGGGAACATGGCGTCTGTGGGTCTTTACATGAATAGGGTACTAAATAAACTGCCAAACTCTTAAAAATAATGAAATATATGAGGAGATTTTTTTCTTAGCAAATGAGCCTTTATTCTTAGCAGATGATCACTAAAAGGTGGTACTTAATCTTCAGAAAATGTCAAGGATACATTTTATATTATATAAATATTAAATATGCAAAACATGTCAAACCTCATGTAAAATGAACATTAATTTCATTAGTTGCTAAAAATTAAAATGTTGTATTTGTTAGCAACATTAAACAAACAAACAAAAATAGACAATTATAAACAAAACAAAAAATAAAAATAAAATAACTAAATAAAAATTCACAAATACACAGGCTAATAAAATAAAACAATATTTAAAAAGAAAATTAATTAGAGAAGAACTTTTTGTCTTAACAAATGATCACCGAGAAGTGGTATGTAACCAAAAAATGTTAATAAATTAAATATTATACAAGTATATTTTTATGATGTCTGCCATTTTTGCATAATATATTATTTTAAAATCATTATTGCATGAATATCTAATTTGTAGCAACGATAAACAAAACAAAAATAAGGAAAAAATAATATAAAATACTGAAATAAAAAACAAACAAATAAAATAAAATGAAAAATATAAAAAAGCTAAATAAAAATATAAAAAATTATATAAAACTAATATAAAATAAAATATAAAAAATAAAATAAAACAAATAAAATAAAAAATAAAATATTCGCAAATACACAGGCTAATAAGCTAATGTCACAATACTCTAAATCTGCACTGCTCTTAACTAAACTACATCTAGGTCTGATGCTTTTGAGTACAGAATGAAACATAAGCAGATTTTTAGTCAACATTGTTCCCACCGAGTTCGTCACAACAAATCCTGGGATTGCCTTCTCTGTGAAGGATTTGCAATCTGGCTGAAACAAGTTGGTTTCATTAAAGAGCTTCAGTAATGTCTGCTAAGATGTTGCTAATGCTTTCTTTCCTATTCAGCAAGTTGCAATTTTTTTAGGAATATGAATGGACATACTGACCCGCTGCCATCAACTGTGGCCTCTTTCAGATGCATGTAGCAAGCCGGAAACACTCCCTGGACATACAGGAACACATCAGAAAACACGAAACAAAGGAAAAATTCCAGTTGAGGCCTGTTGAATGATTGTATTAAACAAGAAAGCTGACTGTACTCTGGAAGCGTTTCATACATCTTTAGTAAACAGACGGACGCTCCATGAGTCGAGTTTTACCGGTGTGTTCATCTTCCTGGACGCTGTTGATGGCGTTCACACAGTGTTTCTTAGCGACCCTGAATGGCCTGATGACCCCGTGATATAGAGAAAGCAGAGGACGAGCAGAGAGCGACAGATAGAGAGCGAGACCTGTGAGGGTTAATTACCGTCTCTATTTGAGTCTCTGTCAGGCTCTCACCTTCATTCTCACACACACGGTTTCTCTCGGCTGACTCAGAGTCTCTCTCAGAGAGAGAGAGAGAGAGAGAGAGAGAGAGAGAGAGAATGAGTGAGTGAGTAATTACACAACATTCTCAAAGCACAAAGCAGCCGTTTCTCTCTGTAATCTCTCTCCCTCCATTGGTTTCTCTGAATCTGAATTGAACACCTCTGCAGTACATCATGACAAAAACATTTCCGTGCACGTCCTTTCAGACAGCGAGTCTGAGAAACGTGTTGTGTGCCTGCAATCACACACATACTAACCAATAATTATAAGTTACTAAACTATACAAAAGAGAAAAAAGCTCAGATAAACACAAGCAAATAACTGCCACATGACATTTCAGACCTGAATGTTAATCAACAATTGTTGAGCTCGTAAGAAAAATATTACTATAGAACTTATTCATATTTTGAATTAGCCTATATTTTATGAATTGCATTTTAATTTTAATTTTAGCCATTAAAATTTTTGTTTTTGCAATTTTTATTAGATTTTATATACATTTCTTTTTGGTATAAAAGAAAAATCTATAATTTTGACCCATACAATGTACTTTTGGCTATTGCTACAAATATACCTGTGCAACTTAAGGGTGTGTATTTATTTTTAAGTTTTAGAACTTTTAGTATTAATTATTGTTGTTGTTGTCGTCGTTTCTTTTTTGTGTCTAATTTTATTATATTTCTAAATATTATTTCTAATGTTATTTATAATTTCCATTACACTACTACAGTTCAAAAGTTTTGGGGAGTGTAAGGTTTTTATTTATTTTATGTATTTATTTTTAAAGAAATGTTTGTGTTTGTACAGCAAATATGCATCTCTTTTTCAAATAAACTGTATTCAAATGTTTTTTTTTTCAAATAAATGTTTATTTGAACTTTCTATTCATCAAAGAATTCTGAAAATATATATATATATATCTACAAAAATATGAAGCAGCACAACTGTTTTCAACATTGATTAGAAATATTTCTTGAGCAGCAAATTAGCATATTAGATTGAATTCTGAAGGATCATGTGACACTGAAGACTGGAGTAATGATGCTGAAAATTCAGCTTTGATAACAGGAATAAATTACATTTTACAATATATTGAAATAGAAAACATCTGTTTTTAATAGAAATAACATTTCACAATATTACTGTTTTGTGTATTTTTATTGAAATAAACGCAGCCTTGGCGAGCATAAGAGACTTCTTTTAAATATCTTTTTTTAAATCTTGTAAAACACACAGAGGTAATGCTCATCGTGATTTTAGATAATGAATGTACTG